CCTCTGTCTGTCTGCTGGGATGTTGTATCTCTCTGTCTGTCTGCTGGGATACTGTATCCCTCTGTCTGTCTGCTGGGATGTTGTATCCCTCTCAGCCCGGGTCTGTCTGCTGGGGTGTTGTATCCCTCTGTCTGTCTGCTGGGATACTGTATCCCTCTGTCTGTCTTCTTTGTTACTGTATCCCTCTGTCTGTCTGCTGGGATGTTGGCCCTACATGACCTAAATTGCATGGGTTGGGGCGTAAAAAACAGCTACATTTGTTCCCCCTGGGTGTTCCAGACTGCTGTGAGAACGCGGGTCTGTCCCGTGAGTGTGTACCAGAGTGTGTGAGCCAGCAGACCGCCAGCTCCTCCCACCCCGCGTGTCGGCGCGACCGCCCCAAGATACTGGGCTGCTTCGCTGGTGAGAGATGTTCTGTTGTCTTGTTTGTTTTAGTGACAGTTTTACGGCACTTGCAGCCCAATTTTTGGCAGCTTGGTGAAATGAGCCGCTCGTCAAAACCATGACATTGAAGAAACTGGCATTTTCCAGCTAGTTTGGCTATTTTTATCGAAGTTCTGTTTTTTGGCTTAAAATGTGTAATATTCCTCTATGACCCGATCTTATGTTTTCTGTATCTCTATCACACAATATGTATTCTAACATGTTTTCTGTATCTCTATCACACAATATGTATTCTAACACGTTTTCTGTATCTCTCTATCACACAATATGTATTCTAACATGTTTTCTGTATCTCTATCACACAATATGTATTCTAACATGTTTTCTGTATCACTCTATCACACAATATGTATTCTAACATGTTTTCTGTATCTCTCTACGCCAGACGGCCAGGACCATGCGGTGTGCTGTGAGAGCTCGGGTCTGCCGGCAGAGTGCCTGCCCCTGTGTCGCGGACACCCCATGGGTTCGAACCTGCTGGTCGCAACCTGTCTCAGCTACAAACACGAGGGGATCATTCTGAGCTGTCTGCTGGAGAGTAGTGGTAAGATGGGATGATCCCTGGAGAGTAGTGGTGAGATGGGATGATCCCTGGAGAGTAGTGGTGAGATGGGATGATCCCTGGAGAGTAGTAGTGAGATGGAATGATCCCTGGAGAGTAGTGGTGAGATGGGATGATCCCTGGAGAGTAGTGGTGAGATGGGATGATCCCTGGAGAGTAGTAGTGAGATGGAATGATCCCTGGAGAGTAGTGGTGAGATGGGATGATCCCTGGAGAGTA